TCTCAAATTATTTATTATTTTAGAAGTTCAAGACAAAATTAATTATATTTTTTTTACCCTTATTGATAATTGTTCTTGACGACGGAGATAACACATAAATAGAATCAGGGGCGGATCTACCTTAGCTCGGTGTCACGTGACACCGCTTCATCGAAAATCTTTACTAATTATTTATATATAATTCAAATGAAAAAACAAGAAAAACGGTAAAATATAATAAGTGACACTGCTTGTCACAAAGAGGCATAGCTTATTTGGTCAAAGCCTAAAGATTTCTGTGCAGGGCCGTGAGTTCGAACCTTTATGGCCTCATTCTACGTTTTAATACTTTTGTACTACTTGACTAGCAAATACATTTTTTGAATTGGAGGGATACTGCTTGTATTATATCTTTTTCCTGATTGTTTTTTAATATTCAATGAAGAGAGTTTTTATCTTAAGACATAAATAAGGATAAAATAGTATAATCCCTTCCNATATATATATATGTATGTATATATATTTATATAGCTCTAACATATTTGAAATCAAACATCAAATATGAGTTAGTAAAATTAAGTCTTAACACGTGTTAGTCAGTGTCGTGATACATAGCAGGAATGGTTCGGTATTTAGAAGCATGAAAGCTAAAGCTAGGAGAGCCGAAGAACCATAACCGGAATCATCCATCCGAATCCAGAAATAAGAACGCGAGGGCTTGAAACTCGAAATGGTCATGTCCTACATAGGTTGTGAATACCTTACTTCGTGCACTTGTAACATGTAAGGAAAATGAGTAGATAATATTGACTAAAAACAAAAAGGAAAGAAGACTATAACTTATCAAAAATACTGTGTCTTGGTAAGCCATTACCTTGAAAGCGATTTCGGTCCGATTGGGTGCAAATCGTTAAGACTGGTCGCTCCCCAAGGTTCCACAACACCTCCAAACACGTGCACTCGTAACTGCAAGTTTAGAATTTGCACAAAACAGTTGCCCGAAAAGAAGAGAAGATGAAGGTATTTTATGTGTTGGATAATTCCAAAGAAGACTAGGAAGAAAGTAATGATTAGCTAGATGAATTTTTGGTTAAGAATTGAGTGAATATGATGGCTAATGATCATCCTATGTATAGCATGAAAATGAGTTTAATTTCATGACAAGTGTCTTGCTTACTTGTCAATTTCCTTTCATGCAAGATGACAACACATGACTTACTTGTTAATTTTCTTTCATGCAAGATGACAACACATGTCATGCAAAATGACACTTGGCTTAGCAAGGCCATTTGTCAAACAAATTTTTTAAATTAATACCACATGTAAAAACTCTTGCCATGTACCAATTATCTAATAAGAGTATTTGGCCACTTGAAAATATGTAGGATACTAGTAAAATAAAAAGACTCATGGCTATTGGTTGTAAATGGATTTTCAAAAAGAAATCTTTGACTTTGCATTATAAATAATACCAACATTCCCCCACCAATGCAAAGACAAAAATAGAACAATTCTGGGCAAAAGAAGGAACATGTACTTAAGTGTCAATATCTTTCGATTTGAATTGACACGTAGTGAAATGAGGCAACAACTAACATCCACAAAATGAAGTACTCTTGAACTGAATGGGTATTAGTTGAGACTCCCACAACACATACTATATCCTTAATTTTATGCAAACTTTGTGATACTAACAAAGTGCTTTTGTGGTCATGCAGTCTCATGAGTGCTCTAGAAAGACATCCCAAGTCTTTCATAAAAGGCGACTGCACCTTTACACTCACGTAGGTGATTCCATCAAGTCTATCTACACATAGACTATCTTAAGGTATGGAATCATTAAGAGCAAAATAAGCTCAACCTTATAAAGCACTACTACACGCCATAAGGATAGGAAATGTAGTGCATACTGAGGTCTCATATGGCTTCGTTTGACCACAAATGGGTATCCACCATACTTCCTCGATCCATGGGCTTTAGCCCCATCCCCTCGACGTTTCAACGATAACTCTCCTTGCCAAACCCTTGGTTAAAGAATCCGCCAAATTTCTTTTGGATCTTACATATTCCAAGAAAATAACACCATGTTTCAACAACTGTTTTACCGCACCATGCCTAATGCTTCTCTATTTAGCTCTTCAATTCAGCTTGAGTTTCCATTGTTATTCCCTAAGTTATATAAAAGCACTTTGAATAAATTTATATACGAGTGACCTTATAATATAACTTTAACTGTTTATTTTAAGGTTAGTTTTTGAGTTAAACATGGATAAAGAGAGAAAAGCACAAAAAGATAAAGGAAACAAGTATAGCTACCAACTCCTTTTGTTGTCATTATTCTCCTTTTGCGAAATAATGTCAAGTGTGTCTGTTGTTGCCAGATTATTCTTATTCCATTCTCAAATTATTTTCTCCTTGGCATAATTCACGTCAATAATCCATTCCCATTTTCAGTAATTCATTTATCAGTAATTATAATTATCTACTCCATTTTCTCATAATCATTCCTTCTTTGTTAAACCCGTATGCATTTCTGTCACTCTGGCCCACAAATTCATTTTTCTTCAACGTGTCAACTTTTCATTGGATAAAAGTGAGGGCACAATTTCCGGTAAACCTCACGCGCATTCAATCACACATCTCGCCCTTTTATGTTCTGTTCCCAAAATAGGAACTCTGCACGAAATTCCAGTCGTAGCGGTGAAGTCACGACAGAAAGGAAAAAACACAAGTCTTTTCTAAAAGCCCGATGGGCCCATCACTGGGCCCAACATATAGCCCAAAAACCAAACTTCCCGTTAAGCACACTTGTGTCCTCACTGGCACGCATAAATGAACTACATTATGCCACGTGTCCGACGCCACCGATACGCGGCATTAGTTGCGTCATACGTGTCGGTATCAGCTAATATACGACGCCGTAATCAACTCGATAGGGGCACATTATAGGATTATACTTTGAGCTTTGGCATATTACCTATTTGGTAGGGACCACTAACAAATGATATTTTAGGAAAAGGAGGTACAGGACGAAAGTCAAAAGGTAAATTAAATTGACTATCTTGTCCCTTCGACTATTAACAAGTGGAAAAAGAAGTCCAATTCAGTAGCTGAGGTGACAAAATTATTGAGATTTGACTTCATGTATTAGAGTTTAGATTGTGACTTTTTAGTAATTAAGTTTCTAGTTAAGATATTAATGATACTTTTTATTCAAGGTTTAGATTGTGACTTCGTAATGTGCGAAACAGATGATTGTTTTTTACTTGAGTGATTTTAAATTATGGTGAGGGTAGTGTGTACGCAGACTTTATCCCCTAATTCAAAGGGTAGAAAGACTATTTCTAAAAGACTCTTAGCTTAAGAAGACGAAATAGACAATATATCTGTAACATCAACAAAAACCCTAGGAATAATAACAACTAGCATCATACAAACCAGAAAATAGATGAAAAGCAAAAACAATAACCAGGACCCCGCACAATAAAAAACGAAAGAGAAGTGAGAATACAACATTAACCACTAGCCGCCTAAGACACAAGTCCTATCAGACTAGCCTTACACTTATATGAAGTAGAAATAGGCTCAACTACCTCATAACCTACCCCCTGATGTTCGACATCCACAACTTTCTATCAAGGGTCGTGTCCTCGGAAATCTAAAGTCATGTCATGTCTTGCCTGATCACCTCTCCAAATACTTCTTAGGTCGCCATCTACCTCTTCTCGTGCCTTTCAAAGCCAGCCGCTCATACTTCCTTACCGAGCACTTGGGCTTCTCCTTAGTATGTGGCCGGACCATCTGAACCTCGCTTCCCGCATCGTGTCATCAATAGAAGCCACACTCACCTTCTTTCGAATAATTGTGCCATCTGAACCTTGTTGCCCGCATCTACCCCAACTTCTCATTTCTGCTACTTTCATCTTTTGGATATGTGAGTTTTAAACTGGCCAACACTCAGTCTCATACAACATGACCGGTCTAACCATTGCTCTATAAATTTACCTTTGAATATCGCTGATACTTTCTTATCACACAAAACTCGAGATACTAACGTCCGCTAATAAATAATAATTGTACTAACATTCAGCGACAAGTTTTCTCCTTGTATAGTTTACGCTTTTCGTACTTGTATTCATCTTTTCTCGTATTAGGATTTCGGAATAGTAGAATTCAAGTTGTACCTTTTTGTTATGCTCGAGTTCTTTGTTACACTTTTTGTACTTGTTGATTTCTATTTCGTGAATAAATTCCCATTTATGCACATTTTTGTGTAGGTTTTCCTTGAAAATAATAAAACTAATCATCTTGTCATTTATGTATGGCTACTGCTTCAAAAATCGTGGACTTTCTCTTGCATGTTTCCTAAAAGTAACACATTCTTGTTGAGTTCTTTTATTAGATAGAGTCACTTATAATTATTTTTAAATGATCAACAATACAAATTATATTATTTTAAAAAGATTCGTGGAAGAAAAGACTGTCAAACCGTTCAACTTATGAGCAAATTGGAACTCTATGGCCCTAACAACCCAATTCACAATCCAACACTTCAAGCAAAGTTTGTTGTTGATCAGAGACGAAGAAGAGCTAAAAGCTTGAGTTGAATGAACTGAGAGTTCAAATCCCATTTCTTTATAACAAAATTCACTTTTTATTTCGTTCAATTCATATGCAAATAATTTATAATCTATTATTGCATAAAATTTAAACTCAAAAAATATTTATTACTCATTAAAGTGTCGAATATAATTTAAATCCACTTTGAATAAGACAATCTTACTAAATGAATTGCCCATTTATGTATTTAACGTAGGGTTAGAACTCACGTGAACCATAAATCTAGCAGAGTAGTATTTTCATATTAATGACAATAACAAAAATAAAAAATAAAAAAGTTAGAAGGATACTTTTGTCATTTCATTAAAACAATGGCCGAAAGCTAACTAAGGGACTGTCTATAGTGCAATTTGTAACCAAGTTCAACAAAATATCGGTTTCATTTTGTTCATTAAAATATAAAAGCCTTTTTTCTTTTAATTTTCTGTTCATTAGTATAACTGATTGCTTCTCCTCTCATCTACCATTCTTCTTCCTCTTCTTCATCATCACTCATCAGCATCCAATATTTGTGTAATGACTGTATTTGTATGTATGTAATGTGTCTGTCACATACGTAAGAAGACACGTAATAGAATTATCTTTACGCAAACGCATTTCAATTCTTCTCAATCCAATCCCTTTATTAGGGCTTAAAATGTACACTTTTTTTTCCTCATAAAGAACCGGAGCCAATCAATACGTTTAACGGTTATTTTGTGAAAAAAGAGTAAAACCCAATCTGGGTTTTGGATTTTGATTAGAATTGGATTGTTGATTGAGTGGTTAATGACGTATGCTGGGAAGGATGAGGAGGAAGGGTTGGTGGTGGTGGTACCAGCCCCGTTATTGGGGTTGGAGAGGGAGGAGGATCTGAAGGGTAGTTATGTAAAATTAGGTGGGGAAAAATTGGAAAAGGAGGAGAAAAATGGTTTCTTTGGTGGTGGGGGTTGCAATTGCTTGGGTGCATCATCATCAGGCCTTGAATATGGAGGCAATAGCAGCAGCAGCAGATGTTGGTCTCTTTGGTGGTGGGCTAAGCTGGTGCTTCTCCTCATTTTTGTTGGAGTTTTGGCTGCTGTTTTTCTCAAATGGGTCGGACCCTTTTTCATGGATAAGGTCAATTTTAGCTTTACTTTTGTTCTTTTTGGGAAATATTTGTCTATTCGAATTATGTAGCTGTTTGTATTATTTGTTGCATGTGAGAAAGTCATACTCTTTATAGATGCTGGTGAATATTTGAGGGTGATCATTTTGTTTTAGCATGTGAGAAAGTCGTACTCTTTATAGATGCTGGTGAATTTGCACCCAAGGGTGTGACCTAGTAGTCAATTGAGTGAGAGGAGAATCATGAGATCTCGGGTTCAAATTCGACAAAAAACATTAGTTGATTTTTTTGTATCTGCCTATGTCTTGGTAGTCAAAGTTAACCGGTATCTCTTCTGGTGGAAAAATAGCAGGTACCCGGTGGAATAGTTGAAGTGGCGCAAGCTGGCCGGTACACCACCGTTTAAGTGAATTTATTGAAGTTTCAGCAAAAAATAGAGATTGTTGCTTGTAAAATATGTGGTCTTTGTAGCCAATTAATTTAGTATTCTGTTAATGGCTCCTGATTCTAACTAAACTGATTATGGAGTCAGTCTGAGCTGCTTAAACTGACCTCATGTATGGGCTGTTTTGTGAGTGAGTTGGATTTAGAGTACTTACCAGAGTTAGTACTTTAGGTGGAAGAATTGTTGTATAGCTGTAGTTGATGAGTTCAGTGCTGCTTACTAAATTAGATGAAGAGTTTGAGATAAGATTTAATGAGGTTGTTTTTTGAAGTCACACAGTTAATTCCATTCATTTATATTGGAACGAAATGGACCTGAATAGAGCATAATGTGTATAGAGTACTAGGCTTAGTTCATTGACGGATCGACTGTTAACTCCATTCATCATGCTATTTCCCTCTGCTGACTCTGATTTGGTGGCACTTATTATGATGCAGATCAGGACGGTTTTATGATTTCTGGATCATATCAATTTCTGACTGTTGTTTTCCTATTTCAGGAGATTATTCCCATACTAAATTGGGAGACAAGAACATTCAGTACTCCGGTACTTGCAGTTCTAGTTTATGCTTCAGTGGCAATTTTCCCAACCCTCATTTTACCTTCCACTCCCTCCATGTGGGTAGCTGGGATGACATTCGGATATGGATATGGTTTTCTACTTATCATCGGAGCACTTCCTATTGGTGTATCTCTTCCTTATTTCATAGGTCATCTTTTCCATCACAGAATCCAAGTATGTACTTCATTACTTTCGCAGACTGATTGCACTTCGTCACTTTGCTTTCTTTACTTAAAATAAATTTCATAATCTCTTTCTTTCTTCTCCTGTAGAGCTGGATAGAAAGATATCCCAAGAATGCTTCTATTATAAGACTAGCTGGTGAAGGGAATTGGTTTAACCAGGCTCGAGCTGTTGCATTGATCAGGATTTCCCCTTTTCCATATATAGTTTATAATTACTGTGCAATGGCAACTGGAGTCAAGTATGGTCCTTATTTGCTGGGGACACTCGTTGGCATGGTCCCAGAAATATTTGTTACAATTTACACGTAAGCATTCTCTTTCTTTTCTTGTTCATGAGAATTGACTCGCTGGATGTATTCTTACGACAGCAGTTATCTGGATCAATTAAATTGCCTGTTAGGTTTTGGCCAGGTCCTTCCTTCCCTTCCTCCATGTCTCAATCCCTTGCCTCACGCCATACCTCTATTTCTAGAAAATAAAAGCAACCTTTCCGTTGAACCATATATGTGAACATCTGGATACTCTACTGAATGCTATTATCCGTGAAAAAAGAATGTTGACTTGCCTCAGTTCTCTTGTTCTAAGGCTGATGACCGACTCAATGTGAAGCTTATACACTTCACATTCAAAGATAGGTAGTTTGGCTCTGATGTCTGACAATGCAAATGTGGTGCTCAATGAGGTTGCACCACTATCTTTTTCTAGTCTTGTATACCTACATTGGTTTCTCTAGTTGTGATCTGTTCCTTGGTGTGGAAGGAGATTATATGCATGTGGATAGAATATCAAATGTTCTTCTCCAAGTTATGTTATAATCGAACTGGTTAATGCTTGAGTTGGTCTGTAGTAGCAATTTGAGTTGTTAGTAAGCTTTCCTAGCATGTTCGATGTGTGTGCATAACTTTGTTTGATGCTGGTGGAAAATTTGTTTAGGGCACATTTTCCTTTTCTCTGCTGCCATATAGTTTTGACTTAGCCACTTATAAGTGAAGATCATTGCAGGATATTGAAAAAACTAAATTGAATAGTGAGAAAAAGCTAATTCTTCCTGTTGTTCGGCTTCATGAATTTGTTTTTTGTTTGATTAACTATGCCGTTAGTCAAAAATTAAAAATAATTAATGCTGAAGAATACGACAGGGAACAAAGTAAAAATCCTTGTGATCTACATAGTTCTGCGGTAAGATTGTCCTTTTGTGGTAAGATAGACGTTGCTTAACTAAAAGCTCTAGACATGGACTGTAATCAGTACCCTACTTCTTTGTTCTATTTTATTATTGGCATTAGGGGGACTGTATGTTGTAGGATGCTCACGCTTGGCTTTTCATTCTGTCATTTCTTTTTGTTTGAAAAGCTAAGTTAGGCTTTTCATTTTCTTGCTGTCCTAGATTATCTCTTGCAGTATTCTATATTGTTTTTCCCCCTCGCTTGTGCTAACTTGTTTTTGCACTCTGCTTCTGTTACGACCTTCAATGATCTTGACTTCTCAGATTAGTTCTATATTTTTCTCCCTTCATGGGGAGGGGGTGTGTGGGGGAGAACACAATTCGAAGATGGTCATTGTATGCATGCAATATCATAGACAGAGTTGTGGATAATGTTGCAACTATTGTTTCATGTTTCAAAAGCAGTAATTTGCAATTTTTGTTGTATTTTACCTATTTTGGAAAATGTTTTAGGTTTTGCCTTTTGCATATAGAACATGAGAAATAAAACTATATGCTCAGATGGACTTGGAGGCAGGCATAAATCATTATTTTCTTTTCATATAAATATATTATGTAGTGAATTGCGATTTGATAGTTAAAAAAAAGATTCATTATTCGTGGCTGTAACTAAAGTTTATAAGGCTAATTAAACACTTAAAAGTGTTTCCAAAACCCATAAATAATTAGTTAATTGCAAGGAAGGGCTCACATTGACAACAATGGTTCTTCATATGACTGTTAAATTTGAGTGAGTTACACAAAGTGTGGAGACAAAAACAGTAGCTTGTGACTGGGAATCATTTGGCTGACATATTTATACAAGAAAAAATGATGGGGAATTCTCTAGTTAAATCCTTTTAAGGTAATTGTAGTCCATGAATACATGCTTTTAGGAATAAAGCAATTGATTTTTTTGTCTTCTCCTGGCTTCTTTGCTAGAGTTTTTGATATCGACACTTTCTGTATTTCTATTAGCATAAGTTTTATTGCCTTTCTCGATTTGTACTCTGGTTGTCTGTGATTCTTTGGGTTTTGGTTCCTTTCCTCTGTACTATTGCTTTGGAAGGATGTAATGGAAGGAGCACGGGAGGGGTGCAGTGCGATGGGAAGGGCTCGATGGTTTTGAGCTTTTGGATTTTTGTTGGTTTTTCAGGGAGAAAGCTACCTGAATACAAAGCAGGCCTTTAGTAATTTTAAGAGGGTTTCATTCGGTGTATGCTGCTCCACTACAATACATAATCGCTTATTCATCATTACAAGTTTCACTTGCTGAATACGTTTTCTTCCAACTTTCTTTGCAGTGGCATCCTGATAAAGACTCTTGCAAATGCTTCGCAAGAGCAACGTTTTTTATCAGCTCCACAGATTATTCTTAATGTTCTTGGATTTAGTTTCACTGTTGCTACAACAGTGTTGATCACTGTATATGCAAAAAGGAGGCTCAAGCAATTGCAGAGAGACGAGGATTTGTTGCTACAATGAGCTTCTGTAGTCTCTGGAGGTCTCGACAGGTGGAGAAAGGAAAGGGAATGGAATTTGGAGGTTCTTTACTGCTGACAAACAAGGTCATTTGCATCCATCGAGAATCTTAATCGATGTATAGGATTCACACCACCTCATAGTGGAGATTAGTCGACAATTCTTTGTGCACTTTGGTGCCATAGCTGCACAGGTTGCGCACCAATGCAAGGAAGTCAAGAAGCCAGGAAACTGACGTTACTGATACACAAGGAGCAATCACCCATTCAAGTCTTTGTCTCATATTGTTGACCATCATTGTACAGAATTGAATAACCCAATTATGGGTAAAACTGAATAGGACAGAGCACTAGTTAGAGTGAATGCTTGGGAGTGACAAACAGATGCTTGATTTAACATTGCTATTTTCTGTAGATAATGAAGAAAATTTTGGTGTACTGCTTAGTTTGTATGCAGCTTCATTCGTTACACTTCTATGGAACTACATATCTTGATAGGATTTAGAAGCTTTACTTTTGAAATGAGACTAGCAGGGTCAGCAATCAGTGGTTTTCTATGTTAAACCATTTTTGGTTCTTAAGGATTAGTGTAAACGTGTATATTTTCTTCATCTATCTTGTTTTCACTTAAAAAATCAGCTAAAGTTAAATGTTGTCTACAGCTAAAGAACAACGGAGGGACTGTTGTGAATAGTTTAAGGAGTGGATGCCCATGCATGGACACCCATTTCCCTTAAGGCTGAATATATATGGGGACATTTAAAGTTGATACGATTTTTCATTTAGACATCTGAACTTAGGGGTGTTCCTAATGAGCACGTACATTACATGAACTTTGTTCCAATTAGGCACTTCTTGCTGAGTTGGCACATAGAGTGAGTTTCACCCAATACAAGCACGTGAAGAGCCCAAAATATAATTTTTTTTTTTGTCTTTTTTGTTTCCTTCTTCTTCTTTATGTCCATCACCATTTCCACCATTGTTATGCCTCTACCATTGATTTAGCTCGAAAATTGATTAATCCTTTTTCGTTATTTTTATGGCATTAACCTACACCATCTAATATGAGAAAATTCCTTCTAAACCAGTTTTTCCACTCAATAATTATACAAGAAAAAGATCGAGTTGAAGTAGAATATATGATCTCTTTTATGATTTTTCTCAATTTATATATTGCTTGGATACCATTAAGGGAAATTTGAGATCTTACTCCCATAAATATCGATATAATTTTAGTCCTAGAGATATTTTACTAAGCACACTTAACCTTTAATGTTATATAATATATGCACTTTTAATCCATCATCTTGTGAATCTTTACAAATCTAACAAACTCTTAGCCATTTCATCATTCAATTATCATGTTTTTTTGTTAAGTTTGCACTGGTATTCTATAACCAGCAGAAGCATGTTTATAATCGCCGGCGACGGAGAATGAACTCCGGCGACAGAAGCATTACTTATCTCATTGGGATAACGAATCTCCATTGACGCTGACACCGGATATTGAGCTCCATCAGTAAAACCGTTATTGATCTCAACGGGATAATGGATCTCCATTGTCATCGGCGCCAGAGAAGGTGCAAAGTTGCCGTAATCAAGCAAATTCACGGCGTCATCTAACGACATCGACACAGATAACACAAAAATCCACCGATTCCGATAAACCTCCGTTCTATTAACAACATCGCCGTTAACAGTCACACTGCCGTCGACGAAATTCACGACGAGCGTCTTGTTCGGAGCAAGAGTTTCTGGGTGTAAATTTGTTTCTTTTTCTTTTTGTGAATGTTTTTTTATTTTGTTATTAAATAGATTTTAAAATAGTTTTTTCTCTTTGTTTTTAACTCAAAATGATATATATCCTTTTTTTTATTTATCATTCGTCACGTCAGCCGCGAGTGCATTGCACACTTTGTAAGTTTGACTAATTATCAAAAAAGTGTCTAATTGGAACAAGTTTAGTGTAGTATAAGTATTCAATAGGAACAACCTTCAGTTTAGGTGTCTAAATGAAAAATGATGCCAACTTTAGGTGTCTCCAGATGTATTCTGCCTTTCCCCCTTAATGTTTGATGTTGAGTATTTCCATTCCTCTTACTATTTGTGAATAGAAAGTGTACTTTTTAGGCTTATAAATAGCCTTGTATCGGATGGGTAAAGACACACAAAAGTGAAAGAAGAAAAGAGTTCTTCCTTCTTTCTATCTCTTCTTTTTGTGGGTAAAGACACACAAAATTGCTTTTATTTTATAACACGTTATCAGCACGAAGCTCTAATTTTATTCTTAACCCCCGCTAAGTTGAGTCATATTTTATTAAGGTATGTATCACTATATTCATTTTATTTATGGTAGTATATATCACATGCTTACTGTTTGCAGATTACTTATGCTCTTGGGCATCTTAAATAGTTTAAGTACATTGCAGTGATAAAATAACTATTTCCTTCAGTGCTCAACTCTTAGATGACCTTAAAGTCATCAATTAGCTATCCACTAATGACATACTTAAAATATTCATGGACTTCCTGGAGCAAAATATATATTTAAGGCATTTTGAAGAACTGTGAGAAATGAATTGACAAGTAATAATTTCACATTAGTTTAATTACTTTATATTTATTGGATTGAAACATATAAATAATGTTAGTCACGTTCAATTCTATTAACACATATATATATCAACAATATAAAGTGAAATGAAATAGTATGTTGTTTCCAATTTATGACAAAATAAAATGAAATAATAGGTTGTTTACATGATATAACTCTATTTTCGTCTTTTTCCCTTACTCATTTTGTTTTATTAATTGTTTATTAATATAATTATTTCTCTAACTTATTTATCTTTTATGATAGTTTTCACTATGTCAAATTTATCAAAACTTGAATTTGTGGCACTTGACATCACCGGGAAGAACTATTTATCATGGGTCCTTGATGCTGAAATTCACCTTGACGCTAAAGGTCTTGGAAATACTATTATACAAGGAAATGAAGCATCAAATCAGGATAAAGCGAAGGCCATGATTTTCCTTCGTCATCATCTACATAAAGGGTTAAAAACTGAATATTTAACCGTAAAATATCCACTTGAATTGTGGATTAATTTGAAGGATCGATATGACCATCTAAAACTTACAATATTACCGAAAGCTCGATATGAGTGGATACATTTAAGGTTGCAAGACTTTAAAACTGTAAGTGAGTGTAATTCTGCTATCTTTAAAGTAAGTTCTCTATTAAAATTATGTAGAAACACTGTCACAGATGAGGACTTATTGGAAAAATTATTTTCTACTTTTCACGCTTCAAATGTGGTGCTACAACAACAATACCGTGAAAAAAGTTTTAAGAAATATTTTGAGTTAATCACATGCCTACTTGTGGCAGAGCAGAAAAATACTCTATTAATGAAAAATCATGAAGTTCGTCTCACTGGGTCAGCTCCATTCTCGGAAGTGAATGTTGTAGCAGCATATGATAAGTTTGAAAGAAAACAAAATAATTACCGCGGTCGTGGACATGGTCGTAGACATGGAAGTGGTAGGGAACGAAACAATTATCGTCATTATGGTGGAAATAAACAGGATAATAATAAGGGTTCTCAAATTAATCATTCAAAAAGTAAAATTAGTATGTGTCGCCAATGTGGTATGAAAGGTCATTGGGCACGCATTTGTCGTACGCCGGATCATTTTGTCAAACTTTATCAAGCCTCCCTTAGAAAGAAAGAAAATAATATGGAGGCACACTTGACCTTTCAAAATAATGATGATGGAGCAGGTCCCTCAAACAAACATGATTCTAAGGCACATCTTGCATATAAAGATGATGATTTTGGAGGCCTAGCAAATATTACACATTTAGAAGCTGGAGACTTCTTTGAAGATATTGACTGAAGAACTAATCATTTTACTGGGGAATGAATCTATAATAAAAATTGTCATTTTTTTTATGTTTGCAACTAGTTTATTTTTCTTGAGTGTATTTTCCTAATGCCATGTGTTGCTAATTTCTACAATTCTAATGTATTTCTTAATGTTCTTATTCTGTTTGTCTTTCATATTTCTTATGATGTACTTTTTGATTTTTATGAAGAATATGAAAATTCTCCAGTCTTCAGTTGGACTCAAGATTAATAAAGATGATATATGTCTTCTGGATAGTGCTACAACATATACCATTTTAAGAGATAAGAGATATTTCTCTTATCTGGTAATGAAAGAAGCCAATGTTAATATAATATCTGGTAGTACAAGATTAATTGAAGGTTCTGGAAGAGCCGATTTATTACTACCAGGGGGGACAAATTTGGCTATTAATGAAGCACTATATTGTAGTAAATCTCAAGAAACTTATTAAGTTTCAAAGATATTCGCCAAAATAGCTACCATATTGAGACTACAAATCATGAAAAGATTGAATATCTTTATATTACTACAATAATGTCTGGTAAGAAATATGTGCTTGAAATGTTGACACACCTCCTGTTTCCGCCCCGCGAGGGGTGAAGGAGTTTTTTCCAATTAAAGGACAATCGAAACGGGACTTGTTTATTTATTTCAGAGTCGCCACTAGGGAGATTTATGGTGTCCCAAGTCACCGGTTGAATCCCGAATCGAGGAAAGAATGACTCTGTTTAACAGTCCGCGAATCAGAAATCCGGATAAGGAATTCTGTTAACCCGAGAGAAGGTGTTAGGCATTCCCGGATTTCGTGGTTCTAGCGCAGTCGCTCAACTATTATATTTGGCTTATTTATCTGATTTTTTTTAAACAATTAAGAACTTATATGCAAATTTAACTTTGACCCGCTTTTATCATTATTATTATTGTTATTATTATTATTATTATTATTTTATACAAGAATTGCAACATCGTGAAAACGCATCTCGAATCACGTCACAACCAGTGTACACGTGATTTGTTGACGCATTTTGACTCCGCCAAGATTGGGATTTGAGTTACATAAATGCACACCCATGTTTAAGAAAATACCCTTATTAAATACGTGCCTAAAGACTACGCGTTGTTATACTTTTTGGTAGGACCGTGAAATTTACTAAACGATCCATCCCAGAATCTAAGTATTTTTTAAAAAAAAAATAAAATAAAATAAAAATAAATAAGATTGGAGGACCCGACAAATTTTTTTTTGTATTGTTTATATTATTTTTTTTTTAGCGAAATCCTCTCTTATTTTATGAATATCCTAGAATGACTATATTTTTTTTAATTATTTTTTTTATTTTTTTTGTCTATAAATATAAAATAAATCTTTACATACTTAAAAATAACATATTAAATACTAGTTTAAAACAAATATTAGTGGAAAGAAATATTACTAAAATTGTAATTATAAATACAATATGGAATTGTCAAATAATATTTTTAAAAGAAACTAATTATCCCATAACCGGATTAAAATCATATTGTTAGATGACTTGAGCTATTGAAATTAATTATTTACATCTACTGAAAATTAGAAACAATCTTG